CCCATCTACATATATTGAGTTTTAGCAGGGATCTAACATTGGACAACATATCTCATAATGATGAAATAACCGCTTCCATAATGAGCACTCAGTTCATCATTCGTAGTGTGAAAGAACTAGTCTTGTAAAGTATCACAGCTTTTATCCCTCCAGTTTAAATAAACGTTTCTAAACTGATTACTTTTGCTCTGAACTCTTCTCTTTATCCAACATTGATTTCACAAAGAATAATTCGTTTACACAACATTTGTCACTGATGTTTTGAATGGACTAATACCTCCTGTAAGATCCATTTTGATAGTTTTGTGCGTGTGTGTGTGTGTGTATGTGAAAATCCCTCCATGTATACATTTGTAGTTTGTTCCTATTGTTGTTCGTTTAGTTGTACATTTTGTTATTCTTTTTGATTCCATTTCAGTTGGTCATATTTGTATTTTATTATAGTTTTTATTTTTCTTACGCCTTCACTAAGTTTCTGTGTTTCTTGCTGAACTGCATTTATGTTCTGTTTACTTGATACTAAGTCTTGGCAGTACCCATATTGGTTTGTTCCTACTTTTGATTATGTTGCTTGTATTGACTAGACTTGTGCAATTTTTGATTGTGAATTGAAGCACACCTCCAGAATTCGAAACACTCTGTGTTATAAAGCAATCAAATAGTATCTTTTGAACGAAACTGTGCGTGATCCAACCAGACAGGATGGAATAACATTGATTTGTTGCGATTGGTAATTTTTTGGCATCCTTTATCCACTTCCTTATTTATTGTAAATTAGATTTGATTCATTGAACAATTATTGGCTGAATAGCTGGGTGGTCATATTTGTTTAGGTATAATGAATTTCAGAAATATCATTTTAACCAATCACATTGTTTTGCTTTCAACCGGGCAAGGGCGCGTATCTAACCCACCTAGACAGTTATTCTTCAGTCCAAACCTTAGTTTGCATCTAACACTTCCAAGAATTTGTACGTTAATTAAAATGAAGTATCTTTCAAATTATAAAAACAAAACTTATGTACCAGAAAATTTACGAAGTTATGGAAGGTTTCTAACATCATTCAGATTTTCTCTAAATGGAGTGTTAGCGTTCATACTGGCATCGAATGATGGAATATATGTGAGACTTCTTTTTCTAACAAAACTTTCATCATAACATCATCCCGCAGGGTGCGGGATCGTGGATGCGCATTGCTGAGGAGTCCCATACTAGGACGAAACGGCCGTCCAGTGCTTCCAGGTTTTCCATGGTGGTCTAGCTTCAATTGACTCATGATTTCAACCTGTGAAATTTCTAAAAATCTCCACAAAACCCCTTCTGAAAATGTCCATTTGTCTTTTCCACTGATCACTTTCCCTGGCGAGAATATAATTTATAGACGAGCCAATCGGATTTCGCATAACAGGTCTTGAATTCCACGAATTCACTCATCCATTCGGTCATACAGGGCGTCTCGGCATTTTAGCTGATGTAAAAACCGTGAATCTAATTTCCTAATTCTAACCATCAATTGTGAATCATAATCCATATTCTTCAAACTGCTTTACAACTCTGATTTAGCCCTAGTAAGTAGGTAGAGACTGTCAAGATCAGCTTGGCGTCTCTTAAAGGTCGTCCGAAAAATTATAGTCTCACCCTTCTACTTAGTTGGAAGTAATCAGAATGGTGTATTTTCTAAATATTCTATTGTGTATTATTACATAATTAATGACTGCCTTAAGGAATGAATATTTGTAACCAACATGTTGTTCTACATTTGTAATAAATATGAGATAATTACACTTGGATAATGGAGAACGTGATATAAACTAACTTAAAAGAGATACTGCACTAGTAATTCTGAGGAACAGACTTTCAGTTTTACTGAGAAAAAGACATTCTATTCCATCTAACAACATTTTATCTTTTCTAATCGACCTATGACTTGTGGTTATGTGGAGGATAAGCTCTCAGTTTGTGACAAATTAGTGTGCATCTATCAGTTTAATTGGTAATGTTAAGGGTGTTAAATTGTACAACTATGGTGTAGGAGTAGGTTGGAAGAAACTAGAGGCGGCTAAACCAAAACATGGCACAAATTCATGAAGTCATTAACAACTGGACTGAGCCATGTTGGTAGATGTAGACTACCTGGTTGGGAATTCACGAGACGATAATAACCGATGGTGAGAGACCTTGAATGACATGGCTCAAAATTCGTTTGCAATAATGCAGGTGCATTCACTCTTTGTCTTCACCCATATTTTAGTCTTCTGAATTCTTCCAGTCCTTTTATTTTTTCTCTTTACAAATTTATTTCACTCGGTCATACTCCTTGAATAACATCTTCAAAACTTAGTGTTTCCGATTACTGCTTATACTTTTACTACGTCTACCACTATGGGATTTGAATCGACAACTGCATCTCTGTGCTAATGTGGTATGGCAAATTGAACTAATGTACGTACGTACGAAGTTCTACGTTGTTGATGACCGACTGATAGCTATTCACCAGTTTAAGCCTAACCTTTGCATATAAGAAACAGTTCGTTCAGTCCTTCATTCTTCCATGATCTTGACCTACCTTTCAATCTTCCATAATCGATTGTTTGTTCGCTTTTTAAAAAAAAAGATTATTTGTACTCCTTTCCAATTTTTTTCATCACTATTAATTCACCATTATGACACCTTCTAATTACTTTGTTCTTGTTACCTATTAAGTGGAAAATTATCTTCACCTTATCTCATTTCACTACCCGATTAATACATAACTTCTATTCAATATCTGATTTTCATAAACCATTCTGATAAGTCTCGCAGATTGAACGCTATATTCGTTTCCTAAACTATTCTGTAACCCACAAGCTTGAACTATACAGCGACCTGAACAACGAGAGAGAAGACACAAAGTATGCGAGAAGTACTTTACTCCAAAGTTCATTTCAATACAGAAAATATAAGGTTTTTATAACATTTTAAATGTCCTTGGGTTGCTAGAAGATTCTGGAATGCTACTAAACATAGTAGCAGTGTAGCAATCAGCCAATCAGAACCTCTGCACGTGACGTTTCACTTCCTTGATATTTTTGGCTAAAACGTAAAGTGAACACTGATTGAATGAAACGCTTCTTAGTGTTTTCTGATGCTTGCTTGCCTTTTGCAAGAAATTTCCCGGATCACTCCAACACATTCATGTCAAAGCACCACTTCAAGTTGTTTTTTTTTCATTATTCAACATCATTCTACTTTATTATAGACTACTAGTATTAACTATACATAGGATTGTATAGAAAATTTCTTCGCTGAATTGCCTTTGGTAAACTGCACCGTTATTAAAGAAAATTTCCTTTTATGAATCACATAAAAAAATGCCACAATAGATACCTTTCATAGTTTGAAACAAATGTATCAATCATATTCTCATATTAACTATTCTATACCAGATCCTAGTGGAGGAAGAAGCGCTGGAAATGGATAGGACACACATTGAGGAAAGCACCAAACTGTGTGACAAGGAAAGCTCTCACTTGGAATCCTCAAGGTCAAAGAGCAGATGAAGACCAAGAAACACATTACGCCGAAAAATGGAGATAGACATGAGAAGAATGAACTACAATTGGGTAGACCTAGAAATAAAGGCCCAGGACATAATGGGTTGGAGAATGCTGGTCGGTGGTCTATGCCCATTGGGAGTAACAAGCGTGAGTAAGTAACGTTGAGAGTCAGATGTTTTAAACTGATTCATATAACAGAACCATTGAATAAATTTTACAGTATTATTATTATTATCATTAGGCGAATCAAATAATATATATTGTATAATGAGTAGCCGGATACTTTATTGAATTAAAGATGTTACGTATTTTATTTCGTCAATACAGTTCTAAAAAGGATAATTTCATGAAAGATAATGATTATCGTCCATGGAACAACAACTTTTATCTTAAAATGTCCAGAAACGTTTATTCCCCTTCTATCTCGAACCCAGGACCACGAACGCATAACCAGTATCCAAAAGTGTTAATGTCTAACTTCGATCAACACATGATCATGTGCAACACTTCATCGATTGTCTGAGATAGATACCTGTCCCTACTCGACGCACCTTCTCATTACAACCCCAGGAGTCCCATCTTGAAGCTAGTCACTGATAAGCACAAGATCGTTAGTGTGGGAACGTCTGTTAACCGAGAGGTTCTGTGACAGTGTCTGTCATTGAAAGGCGCACCTCAGAAGTACATAAACCTTGTAAAGGCTCTTTACTCGAAAACTACTATTCGAATCAAAGCTTATGGCGAACTGTCATCTGATTTTGCAAAATTAATTGGTGTCTGTCAAGGCTGTCCAATTCCTTTATTTTTGTTTAACTTCATCATAGACCTACTGATGGAAGTAACGTTCTCGTCGATTGAATTCTCGTGCATTGATCTCCTTCCAACAGGTCCACTAATCGACTTACAATACGCAGCTGATATAGTACTGTTTGGTGAAGACACTGATGAAGTGCAGTCTTTTGGCAGCACTGAGCAACAATGCCAGAATGTCTGAGATGAGTTCCTCCCTCTCTAAATGTAAGTTGTTGCTTCAGGACTGGCCTGCATCAACACCTGAACTAAGGATAGGGAGTGAAGTAGTCGAACTCGTTGACAACTTCACTTATCTTGGAAGTCTGATCACCCCTAATGGGTTGGTGTCTGACGAAATCTGAGCACGGATTTGAAAAGCTTGTTTGGCTTTTGCCAAATTGCGTCACCTCTGGTGAAGGAGAAGTATCAGTCTATCAATTAAGGGACAAATATGCTGTGTAGTAGATCGTTCTGTTCTACATTACGGCTGCGAAATGTGGCCATTAAGGGTAGAAGATACTCGTAAGCTACTAGTATTTGATCACAGATGCCTTAGAAATATTGCTCATGCATGCTGAAATCACTAGGGTAAATAATAGCAAGGTTAGACGCAGTGTATTAGATAATGATGGTAAGTCAGTTGATGAGGTTGTAATTCTTCACCAACTGAGATGGTTGGATCACATGTTACGTATGCCTGAACACCGATTACCACGACGCGCAATGCTGACTAGTGTTGGGGATGGTTGGAAGAAAGTTAGGGCGGCCAAACCAAAACGTGGCTTCAGTGCTTGAAGTCACTAACTTCTGGTGTGAGCCATGTTCGTAGATACAGACTACTTGGATCGATGTATATATGTGCCTGGTTCTACATTGTAGCTGACTGACAACAACGAGTCAGCCATTCAATGCTTCCAGGTATTCCATAGTGGTCTAAATGAGATCGATTCATGAATTCAACTGTGAAAATTCGAATTTCACCAACATCCATATATAAATATATGCATATTATTATAATGATAATGATGATTATTATATTCAAATGATTATAACCAAAATGTTAGTAGTAGTAGTACTACTACTACTTAAGTATACAGTAGTATTGATAATGTTAGTAGAAATTTTTATATAAAAAAAAACCGAAAAAAAAGAAAAAAAAAGCGAAATCTTCTACTCAATTGATAAATTTAAGAAAATATCAACATGATAAGTGAATGGATACATGAATGTTTACAAAGGAAAAACAAACAAACAAGTAAGTAAGTAAGTAAACAATTAAACAAACATCATCATTTTACTTGATTGAATTTAACCATATTCAAAACCAGCATTTGCATTTAATGCATATAATAAACGTTCACGTAATAGTTTCATATTACGAAAATTAGGTAATTTTAATAAATTTGTACATGTACTTGCAGTTGGTAAACGTTCAATTTCATCAGTAATTTGTATTGAAAATGGTGGTTGTAATTCACGAAAACCAAACATTGGTGGACGTGAACATGCAGTAACAAAACGTAAAAATGAACGTTTATCAGATTCAGAAAAATTATGTAATACTGACCAAAAACAATCTAATGTTTCAGTATAATTTAATGAATCTTGAAAAAAGAAAAGAAAAAAAAAAGAAGAAAAATTATGATAAAGAAAATGAAGATGATGATGATGAGAAATTTATTGAAGCTGCTTCTTCGATTCTTGAAGTAATAATAACATTTAAAAACAACAACAGCAGAAGAGATTTGATTCAAGAACATCTAAACGCCCTGGTTAAGCCAAGGGTGGGGAGAGTCAACTCTCCCTTTCGAAATGCTCTCAAATGACCACGTGGTTAATACAACCACTACCAGGGACGTCCTATTCACTGCCTTTCCACAGCGGAGGGGGGTTGTTTATGTAATTGAGAGGACGGAAACAGAATGTCTGGTGCTTTAACCGGATTGGTGGACAGGGAGAGTTGGAAAAGCCTGATTCGAAATCAATAGCGCACATGGACTCCAGGATCCTAAGGAAAAAAATGGCATATGAACCAATTGTTGGTGACCGGCTACAATGAGACTACGTCTCCTGATTCATGTATATTTTAACAAATTACTCAATTCAAGTATTATTCCTCTCTCTACATTACTCTAGGAAAAGAATAATGTGAACAAATAATTTTTCTAAACTTAATACAATAGTAATCATCCAAGGAGGGAATCTCTATGATACCTGGTACATTTTCTGACTATACGCTTGAATCGGTTTCCTATGCTCTTTTAATAATCATAGGGATAAATCTACACGACAACTTGAATACGAGAGAAAAGGTGTGAAATGTGAGAAAAACGCTTTACTCCAAGGTTAGTTTATATACAGAAAATCGAAGGTATTTGTAACATTTCAGATGACCATGGGCATCTCGAACCCTACTAAACATAGCAGCAGGAAAGATAATCACCGAGTCAGAAATATGATGTTTCTGAGTAACCTCCACTCAATGCTGATTGCATAAAAAATTTTCTCAGCGTTTTCAGGGTCCATTTGGGCTTTTTCGAGGAATATTCTGGGTCTTCCAAAAAATACCAAAGAGACCGTAGATGTTCCAATTTCTGTCAACACGTGTGATAAACAAACGCTTCAATTTTACATTCATCTTAGCAGTATCCGCTGTCTTCATTGATTTAAATGAAAATTCCAAGTGTACATACCGATGTCTTTAGTGTATCATAAATTATAGACAGGAAATTATTTACTATCAGCTCGACTGATGATTGTCCAAACCATAGAGTGATCTAATGATACACTTATTAACAACTCGACTAGGTGTTATAATGATCACGGTTGTGAAATCCATTCAAACATCAAATATAACACTGCTAACTATACAGAAGTACAAGTCAATAAAGCATCTTTCTTGTTCAACGGTACTATGCCATTATAAATCAGCAGATAGCTGAGCACATTCGTTTGGTGGATAACAAACTCGCCTCTAATAGCGATAGATACATAGTTTAAAAGTCTCAGTGCGAACATTAAGACTGAGATAAGGATAAATCTAGCTGAACTAAATGTCTATCCTGGAGATCCAACCGTTTAACAAAAGTCAAATCTATCAGCAATTAAAAAACCTATCAAGCGGCTGTTCGTGGTAAGGTAAACACACATAAGAGGAGATTGACCAATTACAGTCTTAATTATCAATTGCTTTCAACTATTTTCATGTCCATTTGATCAAACAAATTCCAAAATTATTAGGTTTACATATTTCTTTTATCTTAACCCTTTAATGATTCTTTTGTATCAAGGCCTACAAATTCATTTTATATTCGTTTTTTCTCATACATCGTGAGAAAATTCTCGGAGTTCTGGTGAGAAGCCGTGACCAGTGGAGCTAATCCGTGTCAGGGAGAGATAGGTATCTACCTCAGTACAATGGAAGATGGTCGCGCAACTTCGTGGATTGGATGAGGTTAGACATTAACACCAGTGGATGCCAGCCGGCTCAATGGTCCAGTAGGTCAAGCGTTCGCGCACGAGACCGAGAGCTTTGGATTCGGGCCCCGCGAGCAGAATCGTGGATGCGCACTTCCCAGGAGTTCCACAATAGGACAAAACGGCCGTCCAGTGCTTCTAGGTTTTCAATGATGGTCTAATATCAATCGGTTCATGATCTCAATCAAAAGATTTACGAAATGTTATCAAATTATATTACTGACAAGTAACTAATTATTTTTGTTCACTTTTTTTATCTAATCATCTCTAGAAATCAGATCAGATGCATTAGTTTCATTTGTATTGGTTAATACAATTAATGATGATTAACTGAATTGAATCTCATGTGTAATGTCTTACCACTGAGGAGTTTCATTGAACCATAATGAAAAAGAAGGTATTTCATTTCTGAATATTTAACTCTTCTTTTAAAATTAGTGATGAAAATTATTTTCGCGTAATTTATATTATTTGTTCAATGAAATATCAAAATGAGTATCTGTATTGATGCGTTTAGTGAATGTGAATAATATCGGTTTTCATCACATCGAATGGTCAGCCTTAGTTCCTAAATTATAGTGTTTAATCTTGAATGACTATATCTGTATGGCAATGAGAATGATTAAAATTTTTAAAAAATATTAATTTCAATGGTTGAGATCATGAGTCCATTGACCATTGAAATTACTAATAATATACACAAAACCCTTCTGATATTAATCAACATATGCTCACTAGTAACTGGATTCAAGAGGTATAACCTGGAGTTATAGTGAGAAGCGGCGATCAATGGAGTTCAATCGGGTCTGTTGTGAGATGGTAACTCACTAATGACAATGGTGGATGGGTGGCTCAATTGCATGGAATGATTGAAGTTAAACATTAACACCGTTAGGTGCCAGTCGGCTCAGTGGTCTAGTGGTTAAGTGCTCGCGCGCGAGATCGATAGGTCCTTGGCTCGAATCTCGCGAGGCGAGGTCGTGGATGCGCACTGCTGAGGAGTCCCACAATAGGACGACACGGCCGTTCAGTGCCTCCATGTTTCCATGGTGGTTTAGCTTTAATTGACTCATTATCTCAACCGTTGAAATTATTATATTACCAACGAAACCCTTCTGATATAAATATTAATTTCTAAGTAACATTTCGATAGTTGCTAGCAGTGGAATCCAGGATGTGGATTTCGTACTATCTCGGACAAATCAACCGGATATATTTGTAGTCTAGTGTTGATGTTCACACTAAGACCAAGACATCAATGCATTTCGCTTCAAACACCCGCTGCTAGCCATAATCAAAATCCCATTTAAAAATATTAGTGAATTAGTTGATGTATGTTGAGATAATCTGACCAGGTTCTATATATGCCATAAAGAGACAGATCAATTGTAGTCGTTAACATCAACTACGGTACCATACCACTTGTTATTTCGACTGTCTGGCAATACAATTTTTTGAATTTCCTCTTGCTCTCTCTTCGAAGTATTGATGTAATGTAAAAGTATAGCTTGGTGAACATTGAGTACTTCAACCAATAAGTCACTATCACCAACCATTGCTTTAATAATAACATTTCAACGTATATACATACATACATACACAAAAACAGATAAATCAACATATTGTGACATACTTCCAATGTAGAATGTATGCTGTTTTAAATCATTCACATCGATTACCATATCAGCTCCAGATATAAGAGTTTGTAATTCTTCTGCATCAAAAAGACGTACCCAATCAATTGGTATGACATCATTTAATCCAGCAGTAAAAGCTCGTACTTGTGGATAAATCTTAAGTTGAAAAATTATTACATTTCAATAAAATTCATGCAATAATAGTTGTAAACAAACAGAGTAGTCTCATAGATGATATACTTACAATTCAACAAAATATATCAATGATAAATAGAAGATAAAATTATAGCCAGATACCTAAGAATTTTTAAGGTATCATAAAAATAGTATTTGGTTGTGGAGTGTTTGAATGAGATTGGTTTAGTTTATCAGTCAGTCAGTAACCAAGTAGAACTTCGTACGTACGTACATTAGCTCGAGTTCCCATACCACATTAGCACAGAGATGCAGTAGTCGACTCAAATTCCGTAGTCGTACAGGTAGTAAGAGTATAAGCAGTAATCGAAAACAATAGGGTTTGGAGATGTTATTCAAGGAGTATAAACCAGTGAAACATATTTGGAAAGAAAAAAGGGACATGAATAGTTCAGAAGATTAGAATTTGGGACAACGCAAAGAGTGGATGCACCTGCGCACACCGTTGCAAACGATTTTGAGCCACGTCATTCAGGGTTTCTAACCATCGGTTGCTATCATTTCACGGTCCCCAACCAGGTAGTCTACACCTACCAACATGGCTCAGTCCACTTGTCAGTAACTTCATGAACTTGTGCCATGTTTTGGTTTAGCCGCCCCTAGTTTTCTTACAACCTACTCCTATACCACTGAACATCACACATCGAGACAGTCGGTGGTTGGGCATACGTAACACATGTCACAGCCATCTCAACTGATGTAGTTACACCACTTCATCAATTGATTTGCCATCCTTTTCTAGTACTTGTTTCCTAACAACTGGATTACTTACTCGGTTGTTCCAGGATATACGATCAGTGATTCGAAGACACCTATGATCGGATACTAGTAAATACGAATATCCTCTACTCTTACTGGCCATGTTTCACTGCCATAAAGTAGGAAGGGACGAACTGCTGCGCAGTAAACACGTCCTTTGGTTGATAGACGGATATCTTGCCTACGCATAAATGACGCAAGTTGGCAAAAGCTAATCGAGCCTTCTTATTGTGCTGAGATTTCGTCACACACCAGACCACAAGGCTGATGAGACTTCCAAGATAAGTGAAGCGGTACCAGCATCACGATAAATATATTTCAATTTTTGTCAGAATCTTCCAACCAACTACTAACTTGATCTCAAGTCATTGAAAAAGCTAAAACTAACTTGCCAGAGAAGATAGAGGTGTTATTGAATATTATAAATATATGTCTAACTAATTTATTATAGCTGAACTTAATACATTTTATCCGTATTAAACCGTGTAAGTGTAAAGAAACGATAATGATTGTTGATTCTCAATGAAATGATGTTGTAGAAAGTATGGAATAAATATTTTGAAGTATTCACTACCAACTATAACATCAGCTTAAAGATAAATTTGTCTAATGGAGTTTAAATAGATCATTTATACATCTTTCATCAGTTGTCTCTCTTACAAACTTCATCGTTTCTTCATTCTTATTCTCTTCAATTTGACCATTTCAATACTGACTTGTAGTTTAAATTCATTACATATTGTGATTGAGGTATCATTGAAAAACAAAACAATATTAAACAGCTAATTTGTTTTATTATAAGAATGTTTCGCGGTGTAAACCTATGACCATCGGGTTTTTTTTGCAGATACCTAACTATTAAAAATACTTAGTGAGTGTCCAGTGATATTAGAGTTTTAACTTCGATTAATTTGTGATAATGCTCAACGAACAAAACTGCTTCAATTACAACGTTTCTGAACTCTGATAATTATTACTTCTCACTAGAGCTTCTATGATCGTTTTAAAGTTAGTTATTTATTTATTTGAATACATAGATATTAGTACAAGGAGGCACCAAATACATATGCACCACACAAATCTCATTCGATATGTGTGAGGGCTGTGACACTGCACGGGTACCCAAACCGAAGCAGGTGGTTTTCTTAGGGGGACACTCCTCTAGCCTTCGACCTGAACGTCTGATCCGCAAGGCAGTGGAGCATCGTAAGGAGATGCAGTCCCATGTTAGCCGGTGACCAACGATTGGTTCGTACGCCATTTGTTCCTTCAGAATACTGGAGCCCATGTGCACCAATGATTTGGTTTGGGATCCGGTTAAAGCTTTGAACATTCTCTTCTCGTCCTCTCATTTTCGTAAACAACACCCCAGCCACGAGAAGGCAGTGAGCAGGACTTCCCTGTCAGAGGCTATATAAGCGTGGCCATGTGAGAGCATTTCGAGAGGGAGAGTGGACTCTCCCTACTCTCGGCCGTACCAGGGAATTTGGGCGCTCGTTTTAAAGTAAGTTACTAATCAGCTGAGTACTATAGTTCATTTGAAGTAATTTCATAAAAGTTAGCTTAATTTATAGGTTTCACTTATCACAGAATAATAGTAAAATCACCTGTAAATAAGACTGAATTCCATAAAATCTTTTCAGTAAAACTAGATAACTCGTATAAGTAGAGATAGATGATGGCTAGCAGTGAAATGCAGGACGCACAATTCGTCCCATTTTGTACTTGTCAGCTAGATGTACTCATATCCCAATCAATAGATAATTAATTCATATCGGAAGGGGCTTTTTGTGTATAATATAGTAATTTTAATAGTTGAAATCATGAGTTAGTTGAAGCTAGACCACCATGGAAAACCTGGAAGCACTGGACCGCCATTTCGTCACGTTGTGGGACTCCTTAGCAATGCGTATCCACAATCCCGCCTCGCTAGATTCAAACTCAGGACTTATCAGTGTCGCACGTGAGCGCTTAACCACTTAACTGGGCCAGCATCCCACGGTGTTAATGTTTCATTTCAACTAAACCCCTTCTGATATTAATCAATATATGCTCACTAGTGACGGTCTCCAAGACGTATTTCCTGGAGTTGTAGTGAGAAACAGTGACCAGTGGATTCCAAACACGTCTGTTATGAGATAGTAACTCACTGAAGACAATGATGGATGTGTCGCTCAATTTCATGGATAAGTTGAATTTAGACATTAACACCGTTGGATGCCGTCCAGCTCACTGGTCTAGTGGTCAAACGTTCGCGCGCGAGACTCATACGCCCTGGGTTAGAATCCAGCAAGGCGAGGTCGTGGATGTGCACTACTGAGGAGTCTCACAATAAGACGAAACGGCCATTCACTGGTTCTAGGTTTTCCATGGTGGTCTAGCTTCAAATGACTCATGATTTCAACTAGTAACATAAATAATTCTTAGTAATTTTATGTCAAAGTAACAACAACCAACAACAAAAAACTCACCATTTTATTTAATTTATAATTCGCAATTAAATGTACATATTCAACACGATTTTCTTCAGTAACTGGTATATGTTTACCACCTGGTTTCAATTCGATCGTTTCAGATTGACCAAAAATTGATTGAACCATAGTGAAATCTAACGATAAATCTCGTACATCCCCTTTGTAATTTTTTAAAAATAATAATTGTCTATTGAGAAAGAAAAATATGAAAATATAAGAAATAAACAACAAACGATTGATTGAATACGATTATTATACATTCAGTCAGTCAGTAACAACGTAGAACTTCGTACGTACGTACATCAGTTCGAGTTGCCATACATTGATTTCAATTCAATCTGAATTGTTTATCATCTTCATGATGAATTATTAAAAACTGTGAAACAAATATAGAAAAAATTCTATGAAAACACTAAAATACTTATACTGTGGGGGTGGTGTTGAGTGTTGTTAGAGGTATGAGGGCGGTTACCACTTATGGATTGAGCACATTGTGGAAGGTTCTCCTAGAGGTACCTGAAAAGGGTCGAAGGTGGCGTGACCATAGTACCAAAGAATAACTGATTGAGACCGGACACATCCGACCATTTTGTGAATAACTTTTTTGTTAGCTCCGTACGTGTTGGGACCTTACCGAGGGAGACGAAAATCTGTGGGATAAGGCGATGAATGTATTTTTGGGCGGAAATTTTTAAACGCACTCTTCCTTGTGGGAAGGTAGCATCGCTGTTATGATGATTGTTTAAGGGAAACACCTTACTGCCATCACAGTTCTTTACAATCAGCAGTACAACTTCGCCCTCGGACCTTCAGTTTGCTGTTTTTATTCTTACCGCCCTTCAACCGACTGGATGGCATGGTAGGACATTGAGGAACGATTGTTCCAGCCAGTATAGCCCAATTGGTCCATCACGATAGGCAAGTCTGGTCACCACGTCAAGGTAGTTGTGGTGGTCGGGATACTATGGGAGGTCAGTTAAAGCTTGCAAAGATGACTGATAACATTGAATGACATATATGGGAATGCAGGGTTGATGTAAATTTAGATATTACAGAGCTTATCAGCCTGCTTACAGGTACAATTGAATGAGTAATGACGAAAGTTTAGTTTGTCTAGTCTTTAAGTGTTGATTAAATCCTGTCAACCAATTTGCAGAGAGAAAATAGGTTCCCTTCAAGACTAAAGAAAAACCATGCTGACGAATGACAAATACTTCAAAACCTAAGTTCAGGATTTTGTTCTCCGATTGTTTCTGACTATTTACATAGAAGGAATTTCTAATGTACTTCTCAATAGTTGGGTAGTAGTTGCAAGTCTTAGTATAATAACCAAAACGTTTCACGTTGATATAGATTCTGAATGCTGATCATATCTGTTCTAATGACTTGCTAGGTGATTTCTAGACTCAATATAAGATTGCCACTTCAACGAAACCATGAAGGAAATATGAAACAGGCTTTATATTTAATCTTAGTGTAGTTACAAAATAAAAAGGAGATATGTGAGATTATCACTAGCATCCTTAGCATTTAGAAACATATAGAATGGATACTAATATTAGTAGTAAATCTGCTTAAAATGAAAAATATTTCAACATTTATTGGTCAAAAAACTACTTACTTATACAATTGAGGATCAAGTGAATGTAGATAATCAAAGCCGACTCCGCCACCGCCACTTCGACTAACAATTTTCGCCAAGAAGAAATACGCGAACTGAAGTTCGACAAGCACACCTTCGTAAATTGCCTACAATTGTATGAGTGGGTATACACAGAAAATATATTAGTAATATCTATAAAACAGAGGAAATGTAAAATCTGAGGTATAATTCACATATTATTTACTTGGATCTTCCCCTTGATGTTTAGAACTGTAATTGGTCAGTCTCTTATTGGCATATGTGCATACTGCGAGTATTGCCTCGATATTCCGTAATTCACAAGCACTATAATCAAAGATGGATAGTGACTAACAGCAGAATCCAGTTTGACGCGCGTTTCATTCTATTTAGGATCAGTCAGTTGGATGTACCTGCACCCAAGAGTTGATATTCACTCCAGGATTCAGTGGCGAACGATACTAGGTTCGAGTCCCGAGTGAACATCAACTCTTGGATGCAGATGCATCCAGCTGACGAGTCCCAAATAGGGTGAAACGCACATCAAACCGGATTCCACTACTAGCCAATGATTTGATGGAAAGAAAAGTCAATTTTTGATTGATTTACTCATTATAAGTTTTGTTCAAGATTACTTCCGTTTTGATTCAATGCAATGATTACTCAATGTAGTATTTGTTTTCTTTTCTCGTATGATATTTTATTCTGTATAATATACGATATTCTTGTATTCCATTGACATGAACTATGCTCAGTATGTGATTTTTTATAACTCTAAGTATTTTTCATGTATGTGGTTTCATCCTAATTATTAATCAAAATGGGTATACAAACAATATATAAATGAGTGTATTTTCGACTAGAGTCGTCGTCGTCATAGTGTTTTGGGGTAAATAAATCATCACTTATGCCAGTCTTTGTGTTCTTACTTTCGCATCGTGGGAATGGCAGAGGTCTCTCGTTCCGAGTATGAGTAATAAGCATTTCCGACAAAACAATCAGCGACGACCAAATACAAAAAGTAGCATTAAAAGAGCCAAGACAATAAGCATTCAAACGACAAGTTATAACAGCCACTATCCATATTTGCTTATAAGGGCACAATGTTTAATTACTTAATATAGATATAAAGGTAGGTGTTTATCATAATAGAGTACTGTAGAGAAGAGGGAAAAGGATCCATTAACCAATGGAAACCGAAAAAAAACATTGAAATTAAGCCGAGACATTTCAAGACATTTAAAGTGTTAGAGGGGTATAGACAGGGTTAAAGTATGTTCCGGAAAAACTGATTTGTTTTTCCCTAACCAATTGGTGCTAGTGGAGACTTAAAGATTCTAGAATCTTCATATGCAAAAACTATAAATATACTAACGTATTTTTTATTGGGATTCCTAGTTCCACCCAACCATCTTCATTTGTAATACAATTACCTTCCTATTCAACCATGTAATAATTTCGGGACTTGTCCAGTGAAGTAATGTTCAAGAATATTAAACAACAGAAGTAACTCAGTCGTAATAAGAGAAACATAACAAAATGACAACGAAAAAGATAATGAAATAACGAACAGAAAAAATAATGAATAAATGAATCATCAGAATCAATAGTGAACAAAGATATATTCCCTTATTATCGAAGGAACCTCATGTTGTCGGATGGATATCAGTAGACCTTCAGTGACAAAGTTGGTTAAACACAGTATATTATATACTTCACACAAATAAATTGTAGCACAAAACTGATAGATGATACATACACAAATATAGCACATCTGAAATGGATCCTATTTCACTCATAAAGTCAGCCAGTCTGTAACAATGTAGAACTTCGTACGTAAGTACATCAGTTCGAGTTCCCATACCACATTAGCACAGACACAATTGTCGATTCAAATCCCATAGTGGTAGAGGTAGTAAAAGTATAAGCAGTAGTCGAAAACATTAGGGTTTGAAGATGTTATTCAAAGGAGTATAATCCAGTGAAACAAATTCGGAAAGAAAAAAGGGACATGAATAGTTCAGAAGATCACAATTTGGGAGAACACAGAGAGTGGATACAATTGCGCCATCGCAAACGATTTTCAGCCATGTCATTTGGGGTCTCTAACCATCGGTTGCTATCATCTCGCCGTCCTCAACCAGGTAGTCTACACCTACCAACATGACTCAGTCCACTTGTCAGTGACTTCATGAACTTGTGACATACTCATAAAGTATATTTAATTAAAATTGTATTAAAATATTAAACAAATGAATAACCTTTGCTAAAATTCTTCCTAAGAAATAATAATGCTTTAAATAATCCAATGTAATTGCAGATGCTTGTGGATTTGGATATAAAGTTTTATCTGATGCATAAATAAAAAATCCTCTAGTTGGATCAAAACCAGCACGAATAATTTCAGTAAGAAATTCTCTTGATAAACCACCACCATCAATACCAACTTCAGCTAAACCAGTTGGATTTAAAAAGGTCACTTTTAAACGTTGACGTAAATTGGGTGCTGCAAAATAAATTTTTAAAAAAAAAAGTTTTTGTTTTAGGTTGAAGGAGTTTCGGGGCAGATTGGTTTAATTTTTACGTTATATTTATCATAAATTGATCTCATTTAAGAGTACTAGTAAGATCTGAGTAGTAGTCCTGAGTATGATCCTTTGTGGGTTGTGGATGTATATTAGCGAAGAGCAATACACTAAGAAGAGACGGTTATCCAGTGACAAATAATTCTCAGGCGAACGCTGAAACCAATTTAAAAACAAAAGATGATGAATCGGGAATAAAACGTTATCCCACTATGTTTTTTGTATCAGTTTTTCAAATACAGAATTGAATGCATCGATCCTACGATGTTTTATCTAAACATCGTACATAATCAACAGATGACTGAATAAACTAATTAGATTTAGTTTGGTTAATAAAATCTGAATCTTAAAACTGTGAAGAATGAAATAAAGGACAACATTGGAATCGTATCTAAATTGCGTTCTAAAATATGCCTGAAGACTCTGGGATCAAAAACCAAGGAGTCGTAATGAAGTAATATGAGCTAGTATTACATTAGCTATTTTTTAATTTACAGTCATTTGTTAGCCAGTCCTCAAAGACGGGGAATAATACAAGATATGATAATCACAGAATTCAGTAATCGCCAAAGTTATTATTCCACAACTCCATTTAGAAATCATGATTTCACATGAACGTGATTAATCGTTGTAAACTCATCAGCTGGATAAACCTGAATCTAAGTGTTGATGTTCACGTTGAGGCTCGAACCTAATAATCTTGCCCTGTAAACACCAGCATCAGAACTGAGATGGATATATATATATATATATATATATCCAGCTGACGAGTCGTAAATTAGACAAAACACGCATTCTGTGTTCCTCTGACAGTCATTATTATTCAACTTTAATTTTTTTTTAAAACCATTCAAGATAAACATTACCATTTTCTTTGGATAATTTCTCAAAACCATCTTCATATAAATGAGTTCGACGAACAACAAGAGAAACACTTGGTTGATTAGACATATTATATATTCGTCGAAATGGATTACGATTATATGTACTACCATCATTGATAAGAATTTTAAATAACTATAAGAAGATTTAAAAGAAAAAAAAGATACATTGCAACACAATAACAACTATTGTCAAATAGAATCCATATCCTGAGACTAGATGGCGGTTGCAGGTAGTCGACAGGAAACCCTTGACCCGGGTTTCGTGCTACTTGGCACTCGTCAGCAAGGTGTACCTGTAATCTTGAGGGAACTGGTGGTCCCTGGTGGATTCGATCTCTTGTCATCCAGTTTCAAGTCAGAGACGTTACCACTGAGCTATCCAGGCCGCGACTGACCTCCTGTAGGACTGAGATGTAATCACAATTGATTGATCACTGGGTGGTGATGAATGTCATGCGTGCCAAGTCCTTCTTAGTGCAGATCGAATGCTATCGACCATGTTGCAATATGGCCACCAATCTAGGTGACTTGACATTGCGGGCACTATATACTGAGACTAGATGGTGGTTGGAGGTAGTCGACAGGAAACCCTGGACCCGAACTGGTGGATGAGTGATGGTATTAACAGGCTACATAATTGTGGAATTAAGCCAAGTAAGTATTATTATTATTAATGGTTTTATTCAACATTGTGCTCGGTGAATAACATCTTATACAATCCGCGATGTTCCCAGAGAGAGGAAGGTCATAATTCATAAACATTATGTTATTATTTCATTTGCTGTCGAAGTAACACATTTACCGATTCATGTACTCTCAACTTGGAGCAACAATTTGGCTCTGAGTATCGTTTCAAACAATACGACAACCAACTAATCCCTGATAGTAGTACTTATGAACAACTAAAAAAATCAGTAAATTTCATCGACAAAATTGAGGAAACTGATGTCAATCATATAATCACAGAAAACTAAACAAACCTAATGAAGGTCATTGTATCGATGTTGAGGTTGGGAACTTGAATAATAGACAAGTAGAACAATTGATTTACACTGAATAATAATAATAATTCAAATTAATTTATTTATTATTATTTATTTTAACTCATAGATATGGTACAAAGAGGCACCAAATACATATGCAACACACAAATCTCATTCGATATGTATGAGGGATGTGATACTGCCCGGGTGCCCAAACCGAAGCAGGTGATTTTCTTAGGAAACCACTCCCCGAGCCTTCGACCTGAAGGTCTGATCCACAAGGCAGTGGAGCATCGTAAGGAGATACACTCCCGACCGAAGATGCTACCTTGACGCGGTGATCGGGCTTGCCTATCATGATGACCCAACCGAGCTATATTGGCTGGAACATATGTTCCTGTAGGTTCTACCATGTCAGGCAGGTCGATTGGAGAACGGTAAGACCAAAAGCAGCAACTCAAGGTCTGAGGACGAAGTCGTTCTGCTGACTGTAGAGGGGTGTGACAGCAGTAAGGTGTTTCCCTCGGACAACCAGCATCTGCAGCGATGCTGCCTTCCCACAAGGAAGGAAGGGGTTAAAAAAGGTCGACCAAAAAATGTCACACCTCATCTTACCTCATGGATTTCCTTCTCCGGCAGTAAGGCTCTTTGAAGAACGGAGCTAACACGTCAAAACAAAAAAGGCCGTGCGCGACCGGCCTCAAGCAGTTGTCCCTTGGGCTCTGCGGTCACGCTCCCAGGTCGTTAAGACCATTATTAATCCAACTTCCTTCTCAGGTTCCTCAAGAAATACCCTTCCACGGTTTGAGCAGCCGGGAAGTGACACCAGCCCTCATACCCGTAACAGCATGCAAAGATACAAGTACTCGTATATGAGAGATATGGATCTCACAAAAATTAAACGAATTCACAATATCTTACAAATATATCATTGTTGACTTCAGAATGTTTCTCAAAGGAACCAATTACATGAAATTATTCAAGATAATAGATACACTGTGTTGGTAAGTGCCAACTGTGATACGCTTATGCTCTTAACTTGTTATTTACAACTCTAATCCTCCCACTGACTGCAGCGCAGATGATGTAAAAGATGAGTTTTACAGAAAGCTCTCCGACCTTCTCCGAAAAGCTAGGCGCTCGGATGTAGTAATAATGGCCGGTGACTTTAAGTAGGTAAACTAAGCGATAGGGAAAGACACCTGTGTGGATCTTATAGCATCGTGGCTCAAAGAACAGATAATGGCGACCGTCTGTTGCAGCTATGCTCAGATAACCGCCTGTTCCTTGCAAATACTAACTTTAAGCATAAGGAAAAACATCTTTTAACATGGCGACCCCCTAATTCGTCCCAACGTTGGACCCAAATAGATCACATCGCTATCAGCCACCGATGGAGGGGCTCGATAGAAGACTGTCGCTCATTCTGGAGCACATGCTTGGATTCAGATCATGCTCTAGTACGAGCGCGTATCTGTCTGCGTCTTACTGGACGTAGGAAAGACGCTGCAAGGAAACCTCTTAGGGCCCTACTTAATGATAGTCAAGCTAAGAGTATATTTCAGGAACAACTAGGAAAACAGTTAGGCAGCCATGTATGTGATGCCCACCCCGAGGCAGCATGGAATGATATCCGAAAAGCTGTGGAAACAGCAGTGATATCTGCTAGTAAGGTAAACCAGAAGGTTAGGGAGCAACACTGGATCTCAGCAGCATCTATCGCACTGATAGATGCTCGGAAACTCATTCCACCTGGCTCTGAACATAATGAAGAGCGGAGTCAGCTTAAGCGCAAGCTGACAAGAAGTCTACGCAATGATCGTGAACAGTGGTGGGTAGCGAAAGCAAGAGAGATGGAAAAGGCAGCGGCAATAGGTAATAGCAGACAATTGTTCAGACTCGTTAAGGAAACCGGAATTAGGAACCGACTGTTAGCGAAACAATCTCAGAGAAAGATGGACATATTATACATTCTCAATCCAGGAGATTGGATCGATGGGCAGAACACTTTAGGGATCAGTTCAACTGGCCTTCAGCCACACTTCGGTTTCCCACGATCTCCAGTCAACCTGAATGGCAAGTTAATGTAGGTCCTCCGTCTCTTTACGAAGTTGAAAAAGCCATAGGAAATCTGAAGCGAGGGAGAGCAGCAGGCCCTGACAGGTTTACTCCTGAGATTTTTAAGGATGGTGGTCCAGTATTAGCAGTGAGATTAACTGAGGTCTTAGGTAGAATTTGGGAACTGGACGTAATCCCATCTGACTGGTCTCAATCACTGATTGTGCCAGTCTATAAGAAAGGACAAAAGTCCTCTTGTGACAATCACAGAGGAATCAGTTTGACTAATATAGTGTCTAAAATATTAGCTTCAATAATACTTCGACGCCTAATAAAGCTCGTGAAGAGCAGACTAGAGAAAACCAGGCTGGTTTTCGACCTGGACGTGGTTGTATAGATCAGATATTCACACTACGTCAGGTTCTAGAACACAGACACACATTCAGACGCCCCACAATGGTAGTATTTCTCGACCTTAAGGCGGCATTCGACTCTGTTGATCGTGAGGTTCTATGGCAGTGTTTGTCACTGAAAGGAGTACCAAAGAAGTACATTAACCTTATAAAGGCTCTCTACTCGAACACAACTGGTAGAGTGAGAGCTTATGGCGAACTGTCATCAGAATTCGTCAGGGCTGTCCACTCTCTCCATTCTTGTTTAACTTTGTAATTGACGTACTTTTGGAGATGACACTTTCCCCATCTAAATTTCCAGGGGTTAAACTTCTACCGAGAGATTCATTTTTTGACTTATAATAAGCCGATGACATAATCCTATTTGAAGATGCTGACAAACTGCAGTCTTCTGACCACTCTAAGCAACAATGCAAGCATGTTCGGGATGCGATTCTCCCCTCGAAATGCAAAATATCGCTTCAGGATTGGGTTGCATTGACACCCGAAATAATGATAGGACGTGAAGTAATTGAGCGTGTCGATCGCTTCACTTATCTTGGAAGTCTCATCAGCCCTTGTGGTCTGGTGTGTGACGAAATCTCAGCACATCTACAGAAGGCTCGATTAGCTTTTGCCAACTTGTATCATTTATGGCGTAGGCAAGATATCCGTCTATCAAATAAAGGATGTGTTCACTGTGCAGCAGTTCGTTCGGTCCTACTTTATGGCTGTGAAACATGGCCGGTAAGAGTAGAGGATATTCGTAGGTTACTAGTATTTGATCATAGTTGTCTTCGAATCACTGCTCGTATATCCTGGAACAACCGAGTAAATAATGCAGTTGTTAGGAAACAAGCACTAGATAAGGGTGGCAAATCAATTGATGAAGTGGTGAAACTTCATCAGTTGAGATGACTGGGACATGTGTTACGTATGCCCAACCACCGACTGCCTCGATGTGTGATGTTCAGTGGTATAGGAGTAGGTTGTAAGAAATCTAGGGGCGGCTAAACCAAAACATGGCACAAGTTCATGAAATCACTGACAAGTGGACTGAGTCATGTTAGTAGGTTTAGACTACCTGGTTGGGGACCGCGAGATGATAGCAACCGATGGTTAGAGACCCTGAATGACATGGCTCAAAATCGTTTGCAATGGTGTGCGCAGGTCCATACACTCTCTGTGTTCTCCAAAATCTTGATCGCCTTATTCTACCTTGTCTCTTTTGTTTTCTCGTCCCAAATTTATTTCACTGTATTATACTCTTTAAGTAACATCTTCAAACACTGATTTCCCGATTACTTTATTACCTCTACTACTACGGGATTTGAATTGACTACTGCATCTCTGTGCTAATGTGGTGTAGCAACTCGAACTGACGTACGTACGTACGAAGTTCTATGTTGTTGCTGACTGACTGACAGTCCCATAGAAGCCGGTGACCAACGATTGGTTCATATGCCATTTGTTCCCGCAGTATACTGGAGCCCATGTGCACCATTGGTTTGGAATCCGGTTAAAGCGCCGGACATCCGCTTTTTGCCCTCTCAATTCGTAAACAACACCCCCACCACGAGAAGGCAGTGAGTAGGAATTCCTGTCAGAGGCTGTGTACGCGTGATCGTGTGAGAGTATTTCAAGAGGGAGAGCGGACTCTCCCCACGCTCGGCCGTACCAGGGCATTTGGGGACGAATATCTTAAATCAATGACAACAATGTAATGAATAGGCAACCAATAATATACGTTACATACACACTGTACTTACTTTAACTCGTTTTTCAAATGGTATAACAAATGGAACTTTTTCAATAATAAGACTTGACGTATTTGACGATTGGATAAAGAAAATGATTCTAGTACCACTGACATTTAAAAGAAAAAACAGACAAACAAATATGTATTAGAAATTATTTGCTATAGAAACATTTTGAGATAGACAAAAAGAGTACTACAAGTATCATTCTATTGCTGAAGGGAATTGAGAGAGTGCCTTTGTTCAATATACCTAGAGTCTTATGTTACTTGGCTCTATTCAATAAGTTGTACCTGTAAACTTAAGGAAATCGATGATCCCTGTAGGATTCATACCCGCTTAATTCAATTGAATGTCAGAAACATCTACATACTGAGAGCTAGATAGGTCAAAATTGAATCCTTTTAAGGATTGAAAGTTGAATGTACTTAGTTGGATGTGGGTGATTATTACTTAGGACAAGCCAACTAACTAATTAATCAATGAGTTCTCAAATAACTTAAGTTTGTGACAACTAATTACTGTAAAAAAATCTTCTCAGACCACGCAGCGAGCGCTTAACAGGCCGACCACTGCACTGACACAAATGATTCAGTGGATGCACTGTTGACTAGTGAGCGTGATACTAGTTACTATGAGGTGATAGACTATTATGAATCTACCTCTCGAAACCAACGTGTTTCCAGTCCAGTCCATATATATTGTAAGGGGCGGTGTCCGAAATCTGATACTGATAAACGATTTGCTACGCGCTACAACCCCAACTGACTACTTGAGTGTGAAAGTATGTTGAACTAGCGAATAAAATGCATAAGTCAGTCAGTCAGCCACCTACAAAGTAGGATCAGGCACATATATGTATCGGCTCAAGTCGCCATACCTCATTATCACAACAAGATCAACACAGGATTCATAGAAGTAGTTAACTCAATCGTGGTAATATATTAAAGAAAGATTTTATTTAAGGACATAGCGCAGGAAGAAAAAATTAGTTGGTACAAAGAAAGATATGAGGCGATTTCAATCTCACAGTTTAAGGGTAGACAGAGTGTGTATACACCCATACCATTGTGATCGGTCGATTCTGAGACATGTCACCCACAATCTCCAACCATTGGTTATGATAGTGACACGGACACCAACCAAGTAGTCTTTATCTACCAACATGGCTCACACCAGAATTTAGTGATTTCAAGGAGTGATGCCAAGTTTTCGTTTGGCCACCCCTAACTTCCTTCAGACCATCGCAAACACTAGTCAACATTGCACGTTGTGGTAATCGGTGTTCATGCATTCGTAACACGTGACCCAACAATCTCAGTTGATGAAGATTCATAACCTCATCAACTGATTCACCATCATCCCCTAATACCCTGCGTCTAACCTCACTATTATTTACCCGATGATCGCAGCAGATAACAGCAATATTTCTAAGGCATCTGTGGTCAGATACTAGTAGCTTTCGAGTATTTTCTATACTTAATGGTCATATTTCGCAGCCATAATGTAGAACAGAACGAACTGCTGCACAGCATATTTGACCCTTAATTGATAGACAAATAGCTCTCCTTTGCCTGAGGTGACATAAGTTGGCAAAAGATAAACGAGCTTTCTGAATCCGTGCTGAGATTTAGCATGCTTTTGATTCGGTTGAACGTTGGTTCGGCAGTCTCAGTTCACGTAAACTTGGTGTTGCACAACAACTTATATAGTGGTGCTGCTATTTCTTTGAAGTTCTTGAGAAATCGATTGTAGAACACCGCTCTTCCCAGGAACTGTCACAACTTCACCATTCAATTTATTCTTATTATGCTGTTCTTTTAATTGATTGATCATTAGCTAACACTATGTGAATGAGAATCAGGTCATACTACTCCTCATATCTAAATGAGTAAAACTATGTATCGTTGTGAAATAATCAATCAGCCAGACATTTCTCATTTGTGCACTTTTAAATTTCTCACTATTAATCTGGTGAAATGTCAAAAGACTACTTGCGATATATTCTGTACAACGTATAGATTGAAGTTATGAATAAAAGTACAACGACAGTTGAATTAATCTCGTTTGACTAAGGCACGCGTGAAATATCTCAACACATGAACGGAAATTAACGACAAGAATTGAGATATGCTGTGGCTTTTGACCAATAATTCATGTTTATACAGGCGAAGATGAAGAGGGTATCCACATTGTCCGATGCAGTGATTTCCACAATTCACATAATCAATTTTGTAGATGATGTTTGATTATTATTCTTTCGTTATTTCATCTTTTGATTTGCATAGTATTTGTTGTAATTATATTGTTGTTTTTTGTATGCTACGTCTATTCCGAAAGGCTTCAACAATCTCGTTGTCGTTTCACTATGTGGTCCAACTATATTAGAAGATTAAGGTACAAACAATTTTTTTTTTTTTTTTTTTTTTTTTTTTTTTTTTTTTTTTTTTTTTTTTTTTTTTTTTTTTTTTTTTTTTTTTTTTTTTTTTTTTTTTTTGTCATCGATGACTCTTATCTCTAAGCGTACATGTTTCCTTCTGACGATTTTCACTTCCAATTTCCCTCATGCGTGATTTCATTCACACTCTGTTAACATCTGCTGCTACTATTGCTAATGCTGTTGTAATATTAACTGTAACTGTTCTAAAGAAATCGTCATTTTGTTCACTGTTAATAATAATATTAACTCCAAAATCACCGGCAATTGTTATGGCTTATATATATTAGTCGATTATTATGCATCAGAAGTTACTCGTGATTTAATCTTCTCTCGAATATAACACACTCCTTCAACAATAATATACCGTCAAACCAGACACAAACCTACATAGTTCATCTTTTAAGTAAATCTGATTCCAGCTTCAACATTAGGGTTTCGTAAATACAAGACAATGACAGGTCTAGCACAATGATATAACATTGTAGGAAACAATTTTTTTTTTTTTTTGTTTCACTTAAAAGAGCAGGTCAGTTAGGATATATTTTGAACTTGTTTGATTACTGACCAAACATGTCTTTTCTTCTCGATACATTTGACTCATATTAACATTTACGTACCAATATTCCACATTGTAGCAACAACATGACTTATCAAGCAACACAGTTCAAGGGAGGACCTGACATCATGTCTGATTTTTCGACTAGTCTCCAATCTGGTTGATTCCATGTATTAGTACACTTTAGTTTGATGTGAAGTTGTTGTCGAGTTTCTTTGCTTGAACACACACACACACTGATATATTTGCCTACAATTAGTAAACACTAACAATCTTTAAAATCTGGTAACATGTAAACAAGCATGTGTGAGTGTGTGTGTGCATGTGTCAATGTTGTCATTATCGTCGTCATCTTTGTTGTTTTGTACTATTCACCAATTTCTCCTTTTATTTGATCTTCTCACTGTTTTTCCCACCTACCGGAATTTTTATATTGTTTGTTTGAAATGGTTATTGTTTAAAAATAATCCTCAAATAAGTAGTATCTTTTGTTCCGATCAAATTTATTTTTTCCTTTGATGGATTTCATTTGATGGATTGTTGTCTCCTCAAATGTCAAGTGAAGGTCTACCGTCGAGCTTATTAGTATGGTTGTAAATTTGCAAGTCAGAGGAGAGGTGAGGAAGATATTTCACTTTTGAGAGCCTCTGTAAGGATTCTTTTGTAAACTACACCATTCGATAAATAGTTTAAATCTATTTTACACAACTAAAGGGTATGACAATATAAGGCAGGCATGAATAAAATGACCAATGTTATATGTGAAAAATGATAATCATTCTCATCTGTTTCTACAGAACTACTTGAAGATGGTGTGATTTGTAAATAAGCCAAGTCAGTTGATGAAGTTCAGAATGAGTTGTAGTAAGATTTTTATCAATATAATAATAATCATTATATTAGTAGTAGTGATATAACCGACGTTGTTGTGAATTCAGTATGTAATAAATGCGGTATAGTCGAGGTAAATACGATGAAGAGGAATCAATGTGAATTGGGAAAGATGAATGGGAAGTTTAAGAAAGATATAAACATAAAAAGAATTTGGATAAGAGATTCTGAATACGAGTTACTACCGAGCTAATTAGGCTCTCTGTGTGAGTGAGATCTGTTATATCAATGTTACGTTCGTTCATTCTTTAGAGTTCAGATAATTCTCGAAATACCTAATGGTCTAGTTTCAGATGGAAAGAGACTTAGATTCTCATCTCACAACCACCGTAAGTTCCCTAAAGTGAAGAGATACATCTTTTTGATCATTGTCAACTAACACGATGCATACGTTTATAGGCTCCTCTTGATTACTTTCAATTACTGAACACTGAACCTTATAATATGCAACGACATGGAAGAAACCATCTTTAAAGATCAACTAATCAATAAGTCGGTTCAAAAGATACAACATCAACCTTCTGAGCACCTGATCTTCTCTCTATAATCTCAATATTTGATCACAGTTTGTAATGTTGAACATCATCTTATCAAGTGAATTGTAATATGATCGTTACAAATCACTTAACTGGAAGAACAGCTTCATGATAATCGAAATAGTGAATGTTACATATACATTTCAACTCAGAATTCACCACTCGTTGAAAAACAGTTCATTCTGGGTTCAACTAAGAATTTGTTCTTTGCTTCAATCCCACAGATATAAACATTATTTCATCATGTTAAAGAAAGTAGAAGCAGTTATCGAACTAACTCAACTTACAGTAAAAGTGAGTACAATGAATATTTGAACAAACCAGTCCTAATTGTAAGAGGGTATTTTGTTGCGGGAAGGTATGGCCATGTGTAATGACTAACATTCCTTTTCAGATTCAACCAGTGTATACCTTCCATCAAATGTTGTTCTCAATGTATCTTGACCATAACCAAAGCCATCTTTCACCTAGTGAACAGTGATTTTCAACTTATTTGGCAATCAATATGAATTGATAACTTGCCAAACTGCTCCTGGTGAGGTAGATGATGATGAAGAAACTCCGGACATGTATGCTGCACTACCTCACTTAATAGTCTGAATGTTTTGTCCTAGGACCGTTTTGAATCTGAAGATGAACACGACATCTTAATAGTGGAGTTGATGTTAATTTGAACATTCGTATGCATTAGACCATGTATTGAATTATGGTGTTTTGATGCACTGTTAGAAGCTACTGATATTTGTATAAGTAGTAAAGAAATCAATCAGTAATGTCCAACAGAACTGACTGAAGCCGGACTTCATGTTCATCTTCATTTTATAATTAAATATTTGCCACTTTGAGGTAGATCGAATCGCCATTTTTGAAAGCATCCTCATCATAAATGCCACCATGAACCTATTAAGAAATCTTCCTGATCGATTCGTGAATCTCTACAACATTGAAGTCTGTCGGCAATTAGAAGCAGATTAGTTTCAGTTTAGAATTATTAGAATGAAGAAACTTATAGAATAATGTGACTTTGGTGAAAGATTACTCTCCTAAATCACATTAGCTGCATTACACCAATACTCTTTGAATGATACAATTTTCCGGGAATCGAAGAATCATTCAACATATTGTTGACTAAATCACACTATTAAATGATCAGTGAATAGCAAAATATCACAATATTCAATCTGTGTAGATTTCGATTATGTCAAGACACAAATCAAACTACGTGAATAACACGATGTCGCTTGAACGAAATGATCCTGAGTTCGAGTCACGGAGGTAAAATCAATTATTGGACGCATGTACGTCCAGCTGACAAATCACAAATGAGGTTTTTTTTTTTTTTTTTTTTTTTTTTTTTTTTTTTTTTTTTTTTTTTTTTTTTTTTTTTTTTTTTTTTTCGTGACAACTAGATGAAGACGGACCAAAGTATTGTGTTCGGAATTCGAAATCGGACAGTCTCCAA